CTAGGGTCTTCGTTCCTGAGGTTATAAGCAACTAGGGGGAGTTTTAGTCTTTGCTCCCAGTGGCAGCTGTTCCCCTCCTCTGTGCCTGTACCACCAAGGATGGCTTTCTTCTCTCACTCCACTGCCTGCAGTCCTTCTCATCAGCATCTAGTGAAGTCCACGAAGAAAAGCCTAAAAGAGTGTACTTCTATGGCTGTGTAGGGCTTCTTTTTTCTCTCATTGGTCCACCCTAGTTCTTTGTCAATCTCATTTTAAAATTACTTGAATTGCTTCTACTTGCTTGTATGATATCTGGTATAACTTTCTACAACACTCTACCAAAGGTATCCAGTTCTTGCATTCCATGTCTTCTTGAAGATGCCTGTTTTCCCCTAGTTTTCATGCTAGTTGCTTACCCTGCAATTGCAGGTCTTTGATGGGCTCAGAAAAAGTTCTTTTTTTAGGTTGTCTGGAGTTTTCTTGTTATTGGGGTGAAAGTAACAGTCTTTCCCTAGTATTTGTTGTTTGTAACTTTCCCTAATATTTTTATACTTTTATTGATAAATTATATGCTGTACTACCATGCAAATATATAAATTACAAAACATACCCCAAAATAGAAGTAAAAGAGAATGAGATGGATACCTGGTTTGAATGTGGTGACATCAATGCAGCATTCTCTATTTCTTCCATTTGGAAATCATCTAAAAATAGCAAGGGAAACTGTGCCCCTCTGTGTTTCAAAGACAAACTGCAATGAGGGTGGCTCCTGTCAACAGTCACTACCAGTTTGCTACTGTTGTCAAAAAAAAAAAGTGCCAATTTTTTCACCTATATGTATGGATTCTTACTGTGAGAAAGTAAATTTAGTTGTTTTTTTGTAACATATAAGTCTTAAAGAAAATTTAAGCAAATGATTACTCAATAAGTCATGTTTACAAAAACAATTTGTTTCCATGACAGCAAAGAAGGGAGTCTTTGAATATTGAAAACAAGTCAGTCTTCAAATACTACCCTTGACTTTCCCCTAGAAACCCACCAATTGTCCCAAGAAAAACCAATCTACTTCAATATAAGTAATAAAAAGAGAACTGGCATTGACGATATTCAAAGATACCATGAGAAAAAGGCAGATAAAAAACAAAATCTATTAACAGTGAAGAGCTCTCACAAGAAAGAGTTGACACAATACAGATAACTATGACTGAACATTTGTCATGACTTTTAAAAACTTAAAGCAAGATCATAAAGTAAAAATGCAATAATCAAGGAGAAGAGATAATAAAATGTGAAATTATAGAATCCCATAAATAAGAATAATTTAAAATGTAATTTCATATAGAAAAATGACAGAAATAGATAACAAGCAAAGAAGACCCAGCATATGCCTAAGTAGGATCCCTGAAGAAAAACTTTAAAATCATGTTGGGGAGGGGGAGTGATGTTAAATATAAATATGCAAATTAATGTAAAAACATAAATTAAAAAACTAAATTATCAAAATATTTTAATGTATACATTAAATGATTAAAATGTTAAAGATTACTAGTTCATATTGTGTGACAGAGGTGTAGAATATGATCATAACTGAGACATGGCCTAGTGAAATTACTGGACATTCAAATGAAGAATAATTATTTGGGCTGCCTACTCATATAAGTGGTGGAAGAGGCAGAATGGAACTCAAGATGCCCTCAAAGTTCTCAAGAGCAGCCCTAAAAAGCAAAAGATAGTGAAGCAGTACTCATAAGATCTTGTTGGAGAGATCTTACTATAAATCATGGGTTCTATATCCAGCCAAAAGTTTATTCAAGGACAGAGGAAACAGATATACAGTTGAGAATATGCTATATTCTCAGGGATTATTACCATAAGATATTTTTGAGAAAATATATACTACAGGACAAATTCTGGCCAACATACAGAGGACTAGAAGCACAAAGGCACAAACAGTCATAAACTATATTTAACCATAGGATTAAAATTAAAACTGTGCAAATGAACAAATTTGTATGACGTACAAATTATATAAGTAACAAAAAATGAAAAAATATGGGGAAAGAAGGTCTATGGAAGAAGTATGCTGGAATCTTCAGTTACAATATCCATTCAAAGGATGAAATGTCAACTTGATAAACAGAAATCAAACAAAATTTAATAATTCAAAAGTAAATAAACACAAAGGAAGAGTAAATAAATGACTAAAATTAGATGGTGGAGAAGAAATAGATGACTAGAGAGACATTGAAGAAATACCCTGCTTTCATTATTTCTCATTATAAAGAATAGATCCATTCTGTTCCATTGGTCTATATCTGTTTTGGTATCAGTACTATACTGTTTTGATTACTATAGTCTTGTAGTATAGTTTGAAGTTAGGTAGCATGATGCATACAGCTTTGGGTTTTTTGTTTGTTTGTTTTTTGCTTAGAATTCTCTTGGCTATGTGGACTCCTTTTTGATTCTAAATGAAGTTTAAGGTGTTTTATTTCCAATTCTGTGAAGTAAGTCAGTGGTAGCTTGATGGGGATAGCACCAAATCTATAAATTACTTTGGGCAGTATGACCATTTTCATAATTTTGATTCTTCCTAACCATGAGCATGGAATGTTTTTCCATCTGTTTGTGTCCTCTCATTTCCTTGAGCAGTGATTTGTAGTTCTCCCTGAAGGAGTCCTTCACTCCCTTGTTACTTGTATTTCTAGGTATTTTTTCTCTTTGTAGCAATTGTGAATGAGAGTTCACTCATGATTTGGTTCTCTGTTTGTCTGTTATTGGTGTATAGGAATACTTGTGATTTTTGCACATTGATTTTGTATGCTGAGACTTTGCTGAAGTTCCTTATCAGAAGGCTGAAACTGGATCCCTTCCTTACACCTTATACAAAAGTTAACTCCAGATGGATTAAAGATTTAAACATAAGACCTAACACCATAAAAACCCTAGAAGAAAACCTACGCAAACCATTCAGGACATAGGCATAGGCAAGGACTTCATGACTAAAAGACCAAAAGCAATGGCAACAAAAGCCAAAATAGACAAATGGGAACTAATTAAACTTAAGAGCTTCTGCACAGCAAAGAAACTATCATAGAGCGAACAGGCAACCAACAGAATGGTCAAAAAGTTTTTGCAATCTACCCATCTGACAAAGGGCTAATATCTTGAATCTACAAAGAACTTAAACAAATTTACAAGAAAAAAACAAACAACCCCATCGAAAAGTGGGCAAAGTCTATGAACAGACACTTTTCAAAAGAAGACATTTATGTAGCCCACAAATATATGAAAAAAGCTCATCATCATCACCAGTCATTAGATAAATGCAAATCAAAACTGCACTGAGATGCCATCTCATGCCAGTTAGAATGGCAATCATTAAAAAATCTGGAGACAACAGATGCTGGAAAGGATGTGGAGAATTAGGGGCGCTATTACATTGTTGGTGGGAGTGTAAATTAGTTCAACAGTTGTGGAAGACAGTGTGGCGATTCCTCAAGGATCTAGAAATAGAAGTACCATTTGACCTAGCAATCCCATTACTGGGTATATACCCAAAGGATTATATATCATTCTATTATAAAGACATGTGCACATGTATTTTTATTGCAGCACTGTTTACAATAGCAGAGACTTGGAACCAACCCAAATGCGCGTCAGTGATAGACTGGTTAAGAAAATGTGGCACATATACACCATGGAATACTATGCAATCATAAAAATGGATGAGTTCATGTCCTTTGTAGGGACATGAATGAATCTGGAAACCATCATTCTCAGCAAACTGACACAAGAACAGAAAACCAAACACCGCATGTTCTCACCCACAAGTGGGTGTTGAACAATGAGAACACATGGAACACAGGGAGTGGAACATCACACACCGGGGCCTGTTGGGGGTTCGGGGGCCTAGAGAAGGGATAGCAGGGGGTAGGGGGATTGGGGAAGGATAATGTTAGGAGAAATACCTAATGTAGATGATGGGGGGATGGATGCAGCAAACCACCATGGCATGTGTATACCTATGTAACAAAACTGCACATTCTGAACTTAAATAATAATAATAATAATAATAAAAGTTATACCAAAACTTTAAAAAAGAAAAGAGTAGATCTGGGATTTTTTTAAATAGAGGACTGAGGGTACTATAAAAGTTTATAGTTGTAATTGATAGAAGGAAGTAATGCAAACCTTAAATGTCAGAAGAACCACGGATACACAACTACAAAGAAGAAAGACACAAATTGTTGAACAATCCTTTAAAATCTTTAAAACATGGAAAATGCAATAAAAACCACAAGACAGAAACAATCTCAAGTATATATGTAATATGAATAAATGTCAATGAACTAAAACATATCTATTGTTTTTAAAAATAAGATTTTCATATTGTATCATATAGCAAAATCCAATTATAGGCTCTATACAAGCAATATTAAAACTAAGTGTTTGGAAAGGTTAAAAATGAAAGACACAGTTAGATTCAAGCCAGACAGTATTAAACTAGACAAGAGTATACTCTATGAAGTTAAAACGCACAAATCACAAAAAGTGAATTAAAAGAGTAGTGCTTTGGTAACTAATTAGATTTTATTTAGAGTGACCCTGTATTCTAGCTTACCATGGATAATTCATGTCTGTTGTCCTGGTTTAATTATTTATAGAATATTCTTTCATACTTAAAGTATACATGTTTAGATGTTAAATCATATGGTCATTTTAGGCTCAATCCAGGAATGCAAGGATGATTCCATATTAGAAAACATATTCACATGAATACATATCAAGTTTTAGCATTTTGCCATCCGCTTCATAATCATGTCATGCTGTATCATATCCTTTGTATTGTATCTTATACGTCTCTGCTTTTCAGCACTCACTTTCTCTGGCTCATTGTATCACAGCTGTGATATATGTTCCTTTTACAGGGTCCCGTAAAAGGCTTTCTGGAAGATTTAGGCAGACTGCAAAAGAAGTTCTATGCCAAAAATGAACGGTTACTTTGTCCTATCAGGACCTACCTGGTTACAGCTAGGAGTGCAGCCAGTTCAGGCGCCCGTGTACTGAAGACCCTTCGACGCTGGGGTCTAGAGATAGACGAAGCTCTTTTCCTTGCTGGAGCCCCCAAAAGTCCCATCTTGGTGAAGATCCGGCCCCACATCTTCTTTGATGACCACATGTTCCACATTGAAGGGGCACCGAAGTTAGGTCCCGTCGCAGCTTATGGCTTTAATAAAAAGTTCAGTACTTAGGGACAGGGAAGAGAAATAAAGTGGTGACAGTCTGGTATTACAGAAGCCACTTCTTTTGGCTCTCTAGGATAATTATATAGGTATTTCAGAAGATCGACCCTTAAAACTTAGCTTCTTTGGAAAGGTTTTGTTTTGATTTTTTGGAAAACCTTTTGAACCCTTAAGTTACCATCAAACTACTTCTCTTTGAACTACCAGTACTGCTGAATGCCATTGCACCTATCTCTGTGTAAGTCATAATGATGGCTCTTTAGGGTAAGTTTAGAACTTGAATATTTGCATGCTTAAGGGACTGTTTTAGAAGCTTATTTAGTTTCATAAAGCACTGCTCATTTTTGGATGTTTGTAGATAACAATGAATTGTTACCCATCAGCATTGTAGAGTAGTGTCTTCAAAGGTAGAATGAGTATGGTTAAGCAGACTCTTGAAAGCTGGAGCTTTGTATTCTGTGACCACCATGTCCAGCTTTTTAACCAATGCAAAATGAGGATTTCACTCTACCTGCATAACAATTTTGATACTGCTCATTTAGAAATAAATCAGGTGGTGGTTCCTCCAGGATACTTTGTAAGACAAGCCTTAAACAGAACCTCCTGAGAAGGGTTCTCTGTAAATTACTTGGTGGATTAAAAGCCTCTGGTTCACAGAGTTTCATATATTTGAAGTCTCTGGCTTTGGGCCTGGCAGGGTGGCCCATCCATATTTGTATGGATTTAAAAAAAAAAAAAAAAGACCCTATGCTACCACTTTAAAATGTGACTGAAGTGTAGTATCCTGGCCCTTCATTGTCATTCTCTTTTGATTTTGGTTTTGTTTTTCAACAGTTGGTTGATCATTACATATATCATATGTTAGGCACAGTGACCTGGTTATTTTCACATGTTACTTCATTTTCTTATCAAATTAAATGTTTGTGACATAGTATCATTATTACCTTCCTTTTTATCAATGAGGAGCCTAAGATTCCAAAAGATTAGACGGCTTGTCTAAGGATATGGAACTAATGAGTGTTAAGACTAATTAGATTCAAATTCAAATATTCAAAAGTTATAATGATGTCTCTTTCCTTCGTTCTAAATAGAGTTATTACCCATCTGGTACAGATTAATCATTTCATTAAGTTCCATGCGCAAACTACCCAGCAGTTACACTGCAGGTCTAAGGATTCCTCCTCCCTCTTTTCCTCATATTCTCTCCTACTCTACCTCCACCTTCATCTCTATTCCACCTGTACATATGTATTCCACCCCTGACGCTAGCTGAGAAGACCACAGCTGAAACACATCTTCTGATGCTCCCTAATTTGATGTAAACCAGTCCAAACTATATCAGTTGTGACTACGACACTTAGTGAGTACCTACCATTTTCTAGGTGTCCTCCCATGTGAAGACCACGAGAGATACACAGACATAACCCTGTCTTCTAGGAAACTTAAAACCTTAACAATCTGGTCAAGGAAGTCAAATGTACAAACTCAAACAGCCAACACCAGAAGGCTGTTCGTCCTCAGTGCCAGTGAGAGTCACACATGAGGTGAAGGGAGCAGAGATCTTTATAGGCCCGAAGTGGTCAAGAAAGGACTTGAAGTAGCATTTTTCCTTACCTAAAGGCTCTTTTTCCTTATCTGAAGAACCTGCAACGGGTGGAGGATGGGAAGTGGGAGATCACAGTTCCAGAAAGTAAGCACCCTGAGAGCAAAAATGGTGTCCCGTTTTTCCGCAGCTCTAACAGGGAACAGGCAAGGCCAGGCACATGCTGGATAGAGAGGTGGATGAACGAATGAGCCTTTAAAAGTAGCTTGGTATACAGGTAGGAAATTTGTAGCTTGAAGACGGGTCCCTGTGGCACTAACCCTGATGTTAATGAGGCATTTTACAGTGAACCAAGCACTGTGCTTTCCACCGTTATGTGTAATCGTTCCATGGAGAGGGCAGGGAAGCATTCGTAAATGGGCCTGCTCAGAAGCCTATACTTACAGTAAGCCCAAGCTTCTCCCACTGTACCTCTGCCAGTGTCAAGATCATTTGAGGATGACTTTCTTTTTTTTTAGAGAGGCCAATGTCATAATGTCTTCTTCAGTGATCTCAAAGTGTGGTTCCCAGCTCTGCAGAAGCAGCAGCTCCTGGGAACTTGTTAGAAGTGCCAATTCTCAGGCCCCATCCTGGACCTATTGAATTAGAAGTCCTAATACTGAGGCCCAGGTTTTTTTGTTTTCGTTTTCATTCCCCCACCTCGAACCCTCACCCCAAGTCCTCCAGGTGATTCTGATGTGCGTTAAAGTTTGAGAACTACTCGCCCATTCTATTTCCAACTGATTCATGTTGCTAAATTCTTTGTCTTATCTATGAAAAACAGTCCTACCTCAGACTTCCTCTGGGCAGGGACCATTCTCCAGAAGGTGAGTTGAACTGAATTTACAAGTCCCAGGAGCCCTTAACGGAAAACACGAAATGCCCTGAAGAGTGGCATTTTTAACAGGGCCTGTACAGATATCTGTAATTCAAAGTACTCTTCAGGCATTGCCATGGCGAAGGCCTCCCCTACTCTGGGGTTTCAGTACGTATGAACCACAGCAGCCTGAACACGGTACTGGGTACCCAGTCTCCACCATTAGGCTGGGAGGAGGTTCCCCAGCGGGCGCAGGACTCTAGGCGCTGAACTCTCCCAACCAATCAGGAGCCCTCAGAGGGAAACTACAAGTCCCAGTATGCCCCACGCGCACCGTCAGGGGCCGACTCGCCGTGCCCCAGAGTTCTCCGCGTACAGGTGGCCACCTGGATTCCGGGAAGGAGGCGGCGCCGGAATTTCTGTGGAGGGGTCGGTGGGCCCTCGGGCCAGGCGGTGATGGCCGTGGCCACCGCGGCGGCTGTACTGGCCGCCCTGGGCGGGGCGCTCTGGTTGGCGGCCCGGCGGTTCGTAGGGTCCGGGGTCCAGAGGCTGCGCAGAGGCGGCGATCCCGGCCTCATGCACGGGAAGACAGTGCTGATCACTGGGGCGAACAGCGGCCTGGGCCGTGCTACGGCTGCCGAGCTACTACGGCTGGGGGCGCGGGTGATCATGGGCTGCCGGGACCGCGCGCGCGCTGAGGAGGCGGCGGGTCAGCTCCGCCGCGAGCTCCGCCAGGCCGCGGAGTGCGGCTCAGAACCCGGCGTCGGCGGGGCGGGCGAGCTCGTAGTGCGGGAGCTGGACCTCGCCTCGCTGCGCTCGGTGCGCGCCTTCTGCCAGGAGATGCTCCAGGTGTGGGCCTCGGGTGGTGGGGGGCCGGGCTGGGGAGGAGGGCCTGGGAGCGGGGTGGGAGGGGCCTGCGGACCGCGGCTGAGCCGGGAGGGACTGCCCTGAGGTCGGGGTATGACCTTGGGGACCGCTGAGGCTTAGAGGAGTCCAAAAGCCACTCTGAGGCGGCTGGGAAGCTGCAGGGTTCAGAAGGAAAGAGGAGCTAACTGGGAGGGCTGCCTTCTGTCCTCTAAGGATGTCGAGAAAGAAATGGGCCCAAGAGAAAAATAAATATAAGCCAGTTTCTGAACACTTCATTTCGTTATGTGAGGATCGCCCCGGAGATAGATCCATGGCCTCTGGATTGTTTTTCCTGTGTCAGAAGTGAATCTGCACCGAGCTGTGTCTCTAGAACCCCAGAGCACTGGGAGAAGTTGCTAGCCAAGGACCTCAGATCAGTCCTTAGAAAAATATTTATCTCTCCCCTAGCCTCTGCCCCTTTTCTGCTGGGAAAGGGAGCTCGCTGCTTCCAGTAAACTCAGCACCATCCTTAACGGGACTCTGGTCTGATTTCCAGGTAGAATAAAGCTTGGAACGCAGTGGTCATGCTCCAGACAGGGACAGGAATAAAAATAATATAATACCCAGCATTTATTGAAGATCTATATGCCAGGAGCTTTGCCAAGCATTTCAGATCTTCCTTTTTGTTTTAAATGAAAATAAAGTGTCCTTGCCTATAACTGTCATTGAAGCTGCACGGTAACCCTGTGGAGTAGGCATTATTATCTCCATTTTACAACTCGAAGAAACTGAGGCATAGGAAGGCTAAGCAACTTGCTTGTGGTCTGCCTCCAGGACACTTGCTCTTAACCCCGTTCCTTCCTCCTGCTGCCTGGTAGGGAGGTATGAGGCTTTGTTTGTGCAAATGGTAGGTGATTCCACGTAAGTGGATGTTCTCTGTTGAGACTGAGGTAGATGGGTTTCTTGCAGGGGTAACTGGCATTCAGAGGTCATTTGTTCAGAAGAGTGAAATTTAAAATTAGCTGGGACAAGAAAGGTGCCTGTATGACATGGAGTCTCTTGAATATAGAGAACAGGTTCCCAAGTTTTCTCAGTAATTTTCTCATGATGCCCTTAGGCCAGAAGTATTTACCAGTTCATTTATTAAGTAGTTAAGTCCAAATGACTGTAAAGCGAAAAGTTTCTGATACAGATCTCAATCGATTTACAAAGCTTATTTTGCCAAGGTTAAGGATGCACCCCTGACAGAACTTCAGGAGGTCCTGAGGACGTATGCCCAAGGTGGTCACGGCACAGCTTGGCTTTATACATTTTAGGAAGACATAAAATTTGTAAGATGTACATTGCTTCTCCTGGAAAAGTGGGACAACTCGAAGTGGGGGCTTCCAGGTCATAGGTAGATGAGAGATAAAAAGTTACATTCTTTGGGGTCTTTGATCAGCCTTTTACTGAATGCACAATTTACATGTGCAGGGGGGATAGAGGAATAATCACTTACGTCTTAGACTGGCTCAGTGAGTTTGCATTTTCACAAAAACAGAAGACTAGAGGCAGAAATCAGATTTGTCTCAGGTGAGCAAAGGCATGACAATTTTGAGTTCTTTTATTTGGCACTTGTGAAAATGAGCTATCAGTTTATTAATAGATTGCCGGGGTGAAATTCAACAACTGTTTTAGGGTAAGGATCTTGAGGAGGCCCATATGGGCAAACTGTGAGGGTGGTATGTAGCTTCTTTTATTTTGTAGCTATCTTAGGAATAAAATGAGAAGTAGGTTTGTCTGAATCAGTTCCCAGCTTGACTTTAACCTTCGCCTTAGTGATTTGGGGCTTTGAGATTTCTTTTCCTTTCACACAACCTAATATGTAGTTATGTCCTAACAACTTAGTAGCTGTTTGAGAAAATAACATATACTTGAAAGAAAAAATAATTATTTTATTATTAAACAGCCATAATTACTAACAGGAAATGTATGCCTGTCGGTCACGGCACCACTGTCTGAAACCTTGGAATCAGATTGGACACTGCCACCCTCATTTCCTGTTCTGGGTAGATTTTTAGCATTGTTCTTGTTTTTTATTACAACAACTGCTAACAGCTGCTTAAAAGTCAGCTCTACAAAGAAATAATATCATCGAAAGGAATATAGCACAATATAATGTTGAAGCTGTGAACCACCTGTAGCTGGTAGTTTTTGAGGTATTGAGCAAAGTATCAGTGTTTTTCTCAAAAATTAAAATATTCCACAACACCCTGAGAGTTTGCTGCAATGCTGTAGGGCACACTTTGGGAGCTGTTGCAGAACTACAGACTTGGCTTTTTCTTTTTTTATTGTTAGTATTTCATTATTGTGTAACACAGGTTAAATAATACTCATCTATGAGATTTTGAAGCATTAAAAATGGGTCTTTCTGTTCTTCATTAAAATATAGATGGGGCTGGGTGTGCTTCTTTGGCACTGGAGGCAGAACTAATTAAAAAGTGAGGACACAGAGATAACTAAGTTGTCCTTGTTTCTAAGTATTTCTGTTCCTGCCTGGCTCTGAAGTTAAGTGACTATAATTAGAAAGAAAAAAAAAATGGAAATGTAGATTTCCCACAGGTTGGTATTCTTGGTATTTATGTCATTTATCTCCTATAATTTAAAAAATAGTAAATGATAAAATTTTAAAATAACACAAGCCCAGAAAAGAATGATAGCTAAAAAATGATTAATTCAGGAAACTCTTCCAAATGATTAGTGAAAAACAACACTCCTTTCTTTTTCCCATGAGTGAACTCTTGCCTTCTTTTTGAAGTTGACTGTTGGAAAACCCAAAGATGCTTAAACAGGCCAGAATGAGAAATAGTTAATCCTCTGACAGGTGGGCTTTGATAACAGTTGTGAAATGTAACACATTTTTCTTTTTGCTTATACTTGGCAGAAGGGCCAGTGAAATTTGAAATTTGACCTCAAATTAATCATGGGCCATCACAGTGTCTTTACACGTGGAACATGTAGTACATTGCTTTGTCCATCAAAAGAAACAGAGAACAACCGAGAAAAGGCTAGAGAAGACCATCTTACATGATTTAGTGAATAAAAAGACTTACCTATGGGAGCAGTCCAAATGTTAAGACTTTAATCTGGAGCAATACAAAAGCATATGGTCAAAGTATAAAATATTGACTGTACAGATCTCCTAAATTAGAGTCCTCCTTATGTAGGATATTTATTACCTATTTAATTTTTTCTTAATATTTAATTATTCATTATAAATACCGATTTATTCATGATGTTCTCTCCAGCATTAAGTTTGCATTTCTGACCCTTTCTATTGCTTTTTCAGTTTTAAGGACATGACTTGAAGTTGTTCCATCCCCATGGTGCCATTTATCCCGAGAGAACTACAGAATAATGCAACCATAAGTTTGCCCTTGGTGTTGATAACTAGTAGCTCTGGGAATAAACTATGCTTACCTGTCTTCTGCTGTATATGGCCTGTCTAGCTTACCTTGCCTCTCTAGCTGTTTTGAAAATCCCAGTTAGAAAGCCATGCTAGCCTACTAATTAAGAAAATAGGCCTTGATGTCAAAGACCTCATCTTCGGATCTGATTTTTTTTTTTTTTTTTTTTTTTTTTTTTTTTTTTTTTTTT